ATATAATCACATGCGTGAATCGACACGTGGCGCGCAGCGGTGTCTGACTCTCGAGCCGATTTGGAAGGCTCAAGCAGTTGTTTCATTTCCCAAACAACTCCACCCGTCTTGCCAGAGTCGGCCGTTCGCACCCTTCCCACAGCCTTGGCGTATCCAGGCCAATGGGTGTTGTGCCCGTGCCATCCGTTGCGCCTGCGCCACCCCTGGTGCCTGCGCCACAGGTGCTAACATGGAAGTTGAACCCCCATGAAAACCCCCTGTTGGTCAAGGAAAGTCGTCTTCCAATTGGTGGGCATGTCATCCACTTCCATGAGTCCTTGCGGTCGGGCACGGGTCCACCGTCGGTAGCAGGTCCACCGAGTCTTCGGTCTTTTTTCGAGCATTTCGCCGGTATGCCACGACCACCACCTCTAAAGAAGGTCTGCTTTTCTTCTCTTCTTTCGCGACTTTGTCTATAGGTTTTTTCTTCTGCTTCTTTTGAGGCCTTAAAACGAAACACTTCATCTCTCTGAGTCCATAGGGTTCCGCCCACCTGATTGACTTCGAGACGGCCGTAAAATTCGGGATAGACACACCCAGGGCAAGAGTCCATGATGAGAAGCTCCAAAACCTTTTTTCTGGCAGACCCCGCGGTCTTTCAACGGACCGATCTTTGCACAGGCGCGGCGTCCAGATCCACAGAAGCGGTCCTATTCCCGGCCTCAACCCCGGCCTTTCACTGCATTTTCTGCTGTGCCTTGGCGTGGGGGCCTGGCCGATGTGGACGGATTCACTGAGCCATTGGGCGTTTTGGGTGATGAGCATCTAGTTGGTGAGGAGGGAGAAGGGAAATCATTTTTTGCACCTAGTGGTCCACTTGGTTTGACACTGTGAAGCCACACATGTCTCTCCGTAAGCGCCCACCAGGTATGACCCCGGCGAAGCAGTGACCTGGTGCCTTGAAACGTCGATCTTGGGCTTGCCTGCGAGAGCTCCTCGATGGCCAGGGAGTAGGAGGTCATGGCTGTGAAAAAAGCCGACACAGGGGTGACAAGAAACAACATATATAGAGTCCGCGTAGATGCTTCGGGGACTGTTAGCACGCTGGTCTGCAACAACTGTTCTTAACACTGGTTGTGTCCGGACGACTTTCACATTGACTGCAGTGACTACATCCCCCAGAACAACAGATCTGTAGACTTGAGATCAATGAACAGAATACTCTGACGCGAGGAAACGAAAACTAACATGGATCCTGAAAACCACTGGTGCAGCTACAGGAAAGCAGTCTTTCAGGTCCACATGAGTTTTCGGGGGTGTATTTGCCCATGGCAAGCCTATATTCAATATCTTCTGCGTGGCCCGAATCCAGCACGGGTGTGACACCTCCTATGAGCCGCCGGATGCCACGCAAAGGTTTGGCGCGTTAGGCCACGGTGCCATAGTAGATGTACCTGATCGAGTTCCAAATAGATCAACTGACGATAGCAAACTCCGATACACCGTGTTTTTTGGGGGGGAAGAAAGGCGAACCCGAACGGTTCACGTGACTTAGGGTCCCACCGAGTGCCTCGCAGCGTCTTAGGCTCCCACCGAGTGATAGTTTTTTGCTTTCCTCTCACGCACGCCCCCAAACTTCCCTCTGGTCGGCGGGCAGAACAGGCAATTCGCCAATCTTCGTGACTTGAGAGATCCAAGAAAATGTACCAGCACCTTCCAACAGAGTGTTTGAAGACCTTAACCGGCTGCCATGATTGTGACCTGCCACGAGTTGTTTACGACTTTGCTTCGATCCAGCCGCTTTGGTCACCTGTGGTTCAGTTCCATGTTTGAGTTCGCCCTGCGGTCAGCACCAATCCACCTGCCAGGGCCTGTGTGCTTTCTGGCAACAACTAGAGACTCCTCGCCGCGCTCCTCGGTGCCACAACACGGCTGGATGCTGCTAGCTTTGCTCGTCGGAACAACAACTTGTGAAGTTTCTATACTGTCCGTCAGTTTTTCTCATCTTACATTTCTACATTCCTTCCCCCCGCATGGATACCTTGCTCTCCGGACCTTTTGACCCTCCACTCAGGCTACCACTTGGAGCACCAACCAGCGCAAGCTCCGAGCAGTGCTGATGCGAAAAAGACGTTTGTGCATTAGTTTTTCTTTCATCACGCTCAGTCACTTCTCTTCAAACAAGTGGGGGGCCTCTCACCTCCTCCCGGATTACGCCTGATTCCCTGCTACCTTTCGTTCACCCCCCTCCTCTCTCAAGTGTTTCATTCATTGCCCCCTCGTGCCCCCTTCATTCGCCCCTTATATATTTCATCCATTGCCCCCTCGTGCCCCCTTCATTCCCCCTGTGTTGTATCCATTGCCCCCTCGTGGCTCCTTCATTCTCCTCCCTGCGTTTCATCCATTGCCCCCTCACGCCCATTTTTTGAGACACAGCAGGCGTAGACTCTTTAGTCTTGGCTTTTTTTCAATCATTCCACTTGGCTTGTACGACTATTTTCATGTTCTGAATGATGAAGGATTAATCTTTCATCCAGAGTCTACCAATCAGCCTCCCCCGGACGTCTGCGGCAGCTGCGGCACCTGGTTTCCCAGGTTGGATGTGGACGGCGGCGGATCCTTGAGCCAGACCGAATTCTTGGTACCTCGGACCGGCTCCGTACTCCAGGATTTTTACATGACACGGCACCAGGGTCAATAGCAATCTTTTTAATGGTCAAAGGCTAGGCTGGAAACATCTCGGAGTCTTTTGCGGACAGGGAACCATTTGGAAAAGAGAGAGGAATGGCGAGGAGAGCACAGCAAGTTGGACAGACCCGAACTTTGGGGGCACGAAATCATCTATACCCATCCAACTATGCAAAATGTTTGCCTTTCATCTATAAAAGCAACTAACATTCATATTGTTTCATATGTTGGAATAGTTGCAAGGTCTAGGCTCGGTCTAGGTATAATGGGATATGCCCTCAAGGGGGCCGGGCCTAGGCGGGCCTGGCTCAAGTTTGGTAGGAACACAGATCCGCCTCTTCTTCCTCCTTTATTTGCAGGGTGGGGAACGACTGAGAACTTGCCCGGTCCGCCACAGCCACGCGCTCGCCACGAGAACGCGCCCGAGAATCGACCTCGATCCAAGGAGGGGCTGCTCAGTTTGCTCTTGCCTCTTGGCAGTGGATTGGGTGCTCCTGTTATTGTTGTGTTTGCAGTTTGCATGTGGAACCAGGGCTCGAACCAGGGCTCGGACCGCGGAACAACCAGAAGATGAAGCCACAAAGGTCCAAGCCGGAGCATCATTCCCGAACCACCCTAGCACCCACCATGAGGAAGCGATTCCTCCAAAGGATTCCAAAGGTGTATGTGTTTCATTTCTTTTGCGTCGTTCCCACTGTTGCGTTGGCCTTTATGTGCCTTTACATATAGTTCATTTTTCATGTGCATTGAGCAGAATTATCATAAACAGTGTTCCGTGTGTTTCCAGGTGTCCCCCCATGTACCTTAAGTGCATAGTGCATGCCCTCCATTTTTTGGAGGACCACCTACCGGTGTCACGGTCGAGCATATGCTCGACATATGCTCGCCGACCCGGCACCGGCACCGACCGAGGTTGGAGGTGCCGCTTTGGGCGATCCAACTGCAGAAGCTCCTGATGCCAATGCGCAAACAGGTGGAAAACGGGGCGACGGGGAGGTGGAAAACGAGAAGCTCCTGAACACCTCGCGGGGGCGGTGTTTAAACTTTATATATGTTTCATGCGGTTCTAGAGGAGGACGTAGGGATCCATGTTTTGGGATCCAACATGGCTTGCACTCTGTGGAGTGGTCAGATATATCTTGGCATGGGGGCTAATCGCTGGCAAAGTCCTAGTTGGATGGTATTATCTCCTTCCATGTTTTGTTTGGAGCACGGATATTTAGGAATGATGAACCGAGCAAAGCTGTCTTACCACAGACTACTACTCCAAAACTGTTCACGCTTTTTGGGCTAGCTAACATATTGGCTGCTTGAGAAGTGGGTAGAACAGTCGATATGGAGTTTGCAAGGTCCATAACAATGGCCTGAGTGGCTAGCTAACGAGGCAGTCAACGAGGCTGCTTCGATATGGTGTTTGCATTGGACCTGCCCCTCCAGGCCATTCAGATGTCAAAGGACCTGCAGGCCATCCGCGAGTTTCACCAATGGGCGCCCCTGACTCGACAGAGCCGACTGGATGGAAATGCTCTTGCCCATGACTCCTTCTAAGGGAGCTGTTTTGGCACTTGGCACGGTGCCTTGCAAAGCTGGGCGAGCCGTTGTCTTGGGTCGACAAACACGTTCATGCGAACAGAATCGGCGGAGGGGGTCGGACGAAAAGGCGGCAGGTTTGTTTCTTTTTTCTCACTGGGTCGCGGAGGGAAGATGCTCAGAAGGAGCGGTCCAGAAGATCTCAGAAGGTTTGTCTCCAACTCTTGGCGAGCTGTCCAGATACATCCATACGAATTGCTGATTTTGATTGGTTGGAGCCCTCCTGTCACAACAGTAGAAGTGGGACATGAAGGGACCTTCCAGGAAGGCAGATGGGATCAGCTGAGCTTATGTTGACCGGCTGAAGTAAAGGAAGTTCCCTTTCAGGTCCCCTCAAACCTATTCTTATCCATTCTTTTTCGAGTCTTTGACTCCCAGTTCTTTTCCACCACAAGCGTCAGAGACGGGAAAAACCCCGTTATCTATCGTTGGTTGAAGTTGTAGTATTGAAGCCAATTGAAGACGGGACGAGAATGAGGTTTCTAAGACTTGGACATTGAACTTGGATGAACAATCCTTGGGCGCATGCTGGAGCTTCATAGTCATCCTTGGTTCCCTTGCCTACTAGTTATATTGTATATTTTGATATAGATATAGATACATTTTTGTGCTTATCAGGCGCGGCACAGGGCCTCAATGGCCACAAAGGCTGTCTCCAAGTTGCCCCAACCTACCCAACCAATGGGTGAGCTGGTCGTCAAATCATCTTGCCCACCAGAAAACCACCGGGGCCATTGCTGTGGATGTACCTTCATTGTCCTCTTGGATGCGGAAACCAGCGAACCCAAACCGTGGCGCTGTCATCGGGCATGTCATCCGCACCTTGCATCGCCGCCGCCGCGAGCTCCGCCGCTCCGGGAGATCCGCCGAGCCCCGCGGCGGAGCGCAGCTCGCCGAGCGCAGCTCGCGGAGCTCCGCTCGAGCTGCGTCCGCCAGAAGGTCTCCGCCTCATGGCCTCCTTTGAGGTGGCACTGCAGGAAGTCCAGAAACAGCAGCGTGACGCCCGGCCCAGCAGAACAGAGAAATTCCATCGTCGGTAGGCTTTCACTAGATATAGATGAAAGATGAGCTGACTGTTGCAGTGCCAATTCTCTTATTGGGCTATGCCCCTGGGCTACTCCTCTTTGCCAGCCCGCGCAGAAGGATTCCAAGTTTTTAGGAACTTGTCTTGGGACGGTCGAGGGGCATCATGAAGGCGCTGGCTGGATCCTCCTTCTACATGTCATGGTGATGGAAGCATACTTTGTCAAAGCGCCACAGGAACCTGTGGCCCCTTCCTGTTTCACAGAAGAAGGAATCCTAGATAGTCACTACTCGTACCAAATCCTTTGCCTAGAAGCTACTGCAACCAGGAACCCCAAGCTAGTGTTCTGAACACCGCGTTCGGCATGTCCCGGGTTCTAAGGCAGGTGCCGAAGACTCTGGATGGAACACTCGGGCGAGTATTAAACATAGGGAGACCCCTTGGAAGAAGCACAATCGACTAAAACCCATTGGTTGGGGATCTCCCTGGTAAAATGCACACATTTAGACTGGGGTTAGATGACCTAGGACAAGTGGGTTGAGATGACATACTTTTTTGTGGGCTGTGCTCCTGGAAGAATAGAGCTAATGAAAGAGAACATGCCATGGGAAGCCATTAATTTGTGTCTCCATTGTTTAGGCGGCGGCAAGTCTTAGAGTCTTAGGTCATCATTCTTTTCTACGCAAAATCCATGTTCAATCCGGCGCCTCTTGTTTTGTTGTGTTTTGGTGCTTCTCGCCTAATGAAATACAGTTGTACTTACCGCAAACCCACACGGTATTGGCACATGAATTTGGATGTACGTCCGGCCAATTCTGCGTCATTTTCTCCCTGTATACTTGCATGATCTTACATCGACATGTGCACAAAATACCAGAAATCCCAGACCATCCGTCTACGGCACATGGAAATAGATTGAATGGGCATCTCATATAAGGAATCTTTGGCACGGATGGACGTGCTGAAGCAGCAGCACCGCGACTGGCAAGCAGCTGTTGAGGAGTTGCTAAGAACCGTGGAGCACGTGTCGCGGTTCAATGGCGATGCCGCTCGCTGCAAATCCCAAGAGGCCAAACTAGCATGGAAGTGGAAAAACACTGTTTGTAGAGGAAAATGGCCTTCCCAGGGGCCATTCTATTTTAGTTCGGAGTGTACATGTTGAAGTTTTATGTATAACTATTTACTTTCTGTCAATGTCCTGACCCTCGCAGTTTTGCATCAGAGACAAGGGGCCAAAAAGCTGAAGACCGCTGCCCCACACGTTCTCTTCCAACCGCTGGGGGGCCGAAGAACCCACGCCGCCACGCCCAGTTGACCGCAGCGCGTGCGCCGGCGGGCGCGGAGCCGAGCTCCGATCCGAGGAGCCTGAGGGTGTCGGAATCGGGGGTTGCGGTCTGCTGGAGGTCGGGGCGGAGCTCCTGGTGTTTGGTAGGGGTCTTTCAGAATCGCCCTGCAGTCTTAAGGCATCTGAAGGACATTCTCCTTGAACCACCCCGAAATCGGGGCCCTAGTGAAGGTGCTTGGGGGGGGTCCTTTTGTGATACCGCATGTTATAGCCCCCTCATAATCCTAAGCATCCTGTCGTTCGAAAGCGCCTTGTGTGACGTTTCCTCACAGGCCCTTAGCTGTTGCATCGCTCCTGGTTTTTGATCGTTCATTATTATTGCTTGTTTATATACTTGGATTGGAAAAAGTGGTGTGAGGACGTGGTCCCCAAACTGGGCATTGGCGTAGGAGATGTGGGGAGAATCGTTTCCCATTTCTACCCCGCAAATATAGACCAGCCAAGATCATAGTCAAGATCATGCCTTTGTATGCATTTGTACACTGATGGATTTGGTTGTCAGACTGACCACAAACCCTGTTATAGCCTGAAAGATCCTGGGTGTTGAGCATCGGGGATGGACTTTTAATACATGCATTTAAATCCACTGGAATGACTGCAGGACAAACATTTAGCCTCCATGTTTTGGACCATGTGAGAAAACCGACCCCTCCTCTCAGGGAGGTTCCACCGATACCAGTCTGAGAGCATCCAACATGGGCGCCACTGTTGGAGTCGGACCTGTCGGACCTGGTGCATCCTGTGGCTTCTGTCATGCCACCGGGGTCGCTGGTGCGGCCAGGAGCAGATCCGCTTCCGACGGAAGCGTCGCCATGCTGTCGGAGGAGTCGACCGAGGAGGAGACGGCTGGCAGCCGGCAGAGCACGCGCTCGAGGCTGAAAAGCTTGAGGCAATCTATGGCGCCCGGGCGGAGTTTGGATTCTTAGATAGAGTCAGGATGAGTGATGGGAAGCATGGTGAGCTTGATTTGTGACAAACTGCAGGGACACTTATAGATGTGCTGGATATTGCTGGATGTATACTATATTGGATGTATATATTTTTGTTGATGGGCGTTGATGTGTATGACCTGAGTGCGTCAGATCTTGAACCGTCCAGTGTAGCGATCAACGGCCGAATGGAGAGATGAACGACCAATGAGCTGGCAGAAGGAAGTCGCACAAGAAATCACATCAACACTTGAGGTGAGGTCCAGAAACCAACGACATCTCAGTCGGACTCTCTTGGAACATCTTAGAACTGTTCATTTCGGATCCCTTTCTTCCAGGTCGGGGCGGATGGGTCCAACGTCACCACGTTCAGATGGTTTTTTGCGTCCGGGTTGTCGGCCGGAGAGTCGGAGTCGTGAGGTCGGAGGGATGCCGAAGATTCTGGAGGATGTTTGGGTGGACTTTGCACCCTCTGAACCTTGGCCATGGAGGATGCGTCTATAGCTTGTTTTGGTTGGTTTTCGAAACAGCTCCTCACATCTCTGAAACCAAAACGCGCGACCTGATACCTGTTTGGAGAATCCATAGATCAAGAAGCCGCGATTCCCTGAACATAGATGTGAGGTTGATGTCCCTTTCTCAGTCGGGCGTCGCTCATCTCGGATCTGTTCTTTACTTTTTGATTTGCATGAGCACCTGCAAAAACATTTTGAGAGCCTCCCATGGTCTACAGAGCTTAGCACACTATATATACATATTTGCCCGCCTGCTGTTTGATGCTTCGCTTGACGCACCCGCAAGTTGCAGGAAAGCAAAGCCAAGTTGACCTGGTGGGAGCAGCGCCGTCGCTACATGGCGAAAGTGGTGGATTCCATCACCTTCGAGTATGCCACAGGCAGGTGGCGAGAAGCACTTCAGATGGGGCACCAAAAAAACAATTGACTTCTTGATGGGGAGGTAACAAGAACCACTTGCATGTTGAAATTTGCATACACATGCATATATATATATATTGGCATTTCAATCGGCCAAGAGACTAGTAGCGGCTAGCAATGAGAAGATTGGCTGGCTGTCTTGGGGCTGTGAAAATGCAATTGGCCAAATTGCCTCAGCAATGGTGATGAAAAAGCTCTTCAACAAGGCAACCTTGTCATGGGCTGTGAAAATGCAATTGCCATCAATAGCCAAGGGCTCTCAAAAAGCAAGAAGAGATTTATGTAGGTCAAAATTGTCATTTGAGGAGCCTTCAAAAAGCAATCAGAGGTCGTGGCCGAATTGCATTCTATTTTTTGTTCTTCTTTTAAGAAGTAACCTGGCAACTGTTGACAAATCCGAGTTTGAACATGCATTTGGATATGACAATTGCAACATTTGAAATCCGATGAATTTTTCGCGGCTGTCGCCATAAGGGAAGTGCTGTTCCCATTTGGTCATGAAATGTGCGCAAACACCGCACCTGTAGATATGGCTTTACCCTGGGCATGAGTGGTGTGTCCTTAAGTTGCTGTAAGAGTTTGTTCGACCTCCTGTTTTCACATGTTAGTTGTTTGACCCGCAACCAAGTACCATTGGCTCGAACCAATGAATTGCCAATGATTCCAGGGTTGATTGAAAGCTTGGAAACCAAGAGGAGAAGCAACTAAAATGACTCAGCTTGAGGGGTGCATTTTCAGCCAGGGGTGGCAATCAGAGGTGGGTGGCCAAATAGGTGTTGTATGGGAGATCGGCGATGATCGCTGGCCAAGATGTTTTGAGGTTCCTGCAAAAAGCAACCAGAGTTCGTGGCCGAATTTCTTTTTAAGTCGAGCAGTGGATGGCCAGATTGCTTGATGAGGCAATTCCCTTTTGCATCCACACATGTGTCATTCAAACTCCTTTCAACCTTTGGCTGCATTCATTGACCACCCGCACAGTCCACACGTGGCTTCAGCAGACGGCTTTGGAAGAGTCTAGTATTTCTGAGATTCTAAGTTTTGCGCTTATTCCCCAGATTAGAGCTATATATTGGGGTTCTTAGTTCAAGTATAGGAAGAGGTGCCTGTGTGCGCTTTGGAGCCTGGGTGCTGGTGCCACTGCAGGGCGCCGCCAGATGTGTATGGTCGTTTGCGCTTTGCAGCCTGGATGCTGGTGTACTGTAGGGTGCTGCTGCCAGATACTTATGGCAGTGTGTGGGAGCTTGCATGCTGGTGCCGCTGCAGGGTACCAGATGCGTGTGGCCGTTTGCGCTTTGAGCCTGTGCGCTGGTGCCGCTGCAGGGGCGCGCTCCAGCTTCTGCTGCGAGATGTTTGTGGCCGTGTGCGCTGTGGAGCTTTGGGGGTGCCGCTGCGGCTGCACCTTGCCGCTGCAGGGTGCATAATCATGGCACCTTGGAGATGGTCAACGGTCAACTTCAACTATATAATCCTGGGGAATGGAAGACAAGACAGATAAACATTTGGAACGCCTGTGTGTTGGTGTTGCTGCAGGCCACGGCGGGGTGCTGCTGCCAGATGCGTCTGGCCCGTGTGCGCTTAGCAGCCTGGATGTGCATGACATTGCGGGCTGCGGGCTAGTGGTGCTGCAGGGTGCCGCTGCAAGGTACATGTGCACTGTGCGCTTTGGAGCTTGGGTGCTGGTGCTCATGCAAGATGCTGCTGCAGGGTTGCTGCCAGATGCCTATGGCAGTTTGAGTTTTGGGGCCTGCTTGTTGGTGTCACTTTCAGGCCGCTGCAGGCGCCGCTGCCAGATGTTTATGGCAGTGCACGATTTGGAGTGTGGTTGCAGGTGTATGCTGCCCACAAATATCTTTTGCTGTTTGGGGTCTATGCTGGCATAATTTTGTTGAGAGCGGTGGCCATGTTCCAAGTCCTATTATCGAAGCGCGGAAACACACCTGTCAACTTAAGCCGGCCAACTGCGGCATCGTGCTTGGCGTGTTGAACGGAGGCCTGCTGATCTTGGTGAACATAATCTTGATCGGTGTCGAGGCCATGGGTGATGTTGGTTTTGAGCGGTGGCCATGACCAAGAGCAAGCCCCAGACCAAGTTGGTTTCCCCGAACCATGCAGCTTAGCGGTAGCGTTAGCGGTCACCATGGCTTGTCCACAATGAATCTCACTGGTTCCTTGGTCAGGATGGAAATGCATGAGATGGCCCTTCAATTGAATGCGTCAATGACGGCTTGTAGTTCAATGCCTCCAGCTGTTGCAGCCGGACGTTAGCATTTAACACACCCACCTCCCTCAATGGTCCCTAATTATCCTATTTAAAGATTTGCGACCCTAAGCTGTTTCAAAGTCTAGCCCCTGGCAACCCCGCCCAGGCAGAGATGTCGGCACAGCACCGTGACACTTCTTGGGCGACAGAGCTGGAACGGGGTTTCTTGACCATTTACACTGCCGAGCTCCTGCTGCGCTTTGTGGTCGGGGGAATGCCCATGTGGCCTGGCAACGCAGAACGCAGAAGTGGCCGCCGGTGCCAACTCTCGAAGGTTCTCCAAGGCAGATTGAAACGTTAGTCGGTGAAACCAGTGTCGACTTTTGTGTTCGTGTTTGTTTCTCTTTGTGTTTGTGTTTTGTTTTTGGTTTCCTTGGGCACGGAATGGCACGGATAACACTTAGACTGTACACATGTTTCAAAAACCCATACACCTACACCATGTCGTCAACATCACATCAAATGTTCAAGCGCCTCAACCGAAACTAGGCAGGACAATCCAGGACGCCCTGAGTGAACTGGGGTTGGAACCCACGGAACCGCACATTCTGCATCTACGCTTTGGACCCAACATCCTCACCACCTGGGAGAGGACCCTCCAAACCAGTCCCAGACTTTCTCGATAGCTGGTCCCAGGGGACTCCTTTTCGAACACGTTCCCTGTTTTTTTGCTGGGAGCCTCTTCCCGAGACTGACTGCTCCTCTCATCAGCGCAGGCCGGAGGGTCGTTTTCTTCTCTCGAAAGGCTCAACGACAGGTCCAGGGTCCCCAGTTGTAGTATCTTTGGAACTGGATATATATATATATATATGGCCCCCTAAGGGGTGTTACTGGATACCCCGAATCACCTCTAAGGAGCTATAATTAGACTTTTAGGGGGCGCTGGTATATATAAATTATATACATACACCCTGGAAGATTTACATGGAACCTGAAAACCATTGGGTTGTAGAGGAAAATTGTCTTCCAAATTTAGGATCCTTTTTTAGGTTCCATGTTAATCTTCCAGGGTGTATGACCTAGATTGCCTTAAGGAGTGGCAATGAACATCACAAAACTCAAGATTTCACCTCACTGTCTCCAATGAACTTGCGCCATCCCAACACTTGATCCTCCGTTCGTTCGGTGATCTCCCCGCGCTGTTGGTTCAGGTGCCGGAACGCCTGGTTTTTGTTGGACTTCTTCCTGGTTTGCATCTCGCCAGATCCAACAGGAACAAGAAAGAAACGAGAAGCATGTTCACTCCCAGTCACCGTTTCACTCCCAGTCACCGTTTCACTCCCAGTCACCGTTTCAGTCACGTGGAGTGGAAAGCGTTTTCGGTCAAAATGGTCTTCCGGGGCCGAGGCCTTCCATGGAACATGGGTGCTGGGAGTGTTGTATGTTTTTTTTGGTTTTCCCGGTGTCCATTTCGAGTCATTAAAGGCCGAGTCAGTTTCCCCTGTGCTCTTCGGAAGACCCATGAACATCTGATGTTGGCACTTGGAGGTACTTGGATCCCGACCGTGCCCGGCTCGCCCACGTGTTAGAAGACGTTTGTAAGTGACTGAGGCATTGGCTTAGTGGCGCTGGTGGTCGTGCCCTTGGTGGAGAGTTCTGCATCCCTCCAGGACCGGGGAAGACAGATGGGACAATGACATCCATCCGAAGAAGATGGCAAAGGCACGCCATGGCACAAACTGATGTGTTTTTTCTGTGTTTGTTTGGGCATGGGAGAGCAAAGGTTTGGAATCTCGAGGATTCAATCTTCCAAAAAGATGAAACAGCCAGGAGTCACATGGAGTTGAGTGGTTTTCAGTCCCTTAGATCAGTGAGTGGCACCCCGACGACCTCCATGGATGGCACCGCTAACCTCTGTAACTCCGCCAGGTCTCGCCCAACGACTCCATAGGACTGTCGCCACCCCGACCCCAGGTCAAGCACCCCAAGGTAGGCATGTATTCCACATTTTTCTTCTTTTTACAAATCCATGTTGAAGCTTTCTATCGCCCATAGGCCCATAGGCGTATATAACTTCAACAACTCGGCAAGCACTCCGAATCAAAGATGCGAACGTGACTTACCCTGACCTGTAGCAGTTTAATTGGTTGCTACGTGCATGAACGTTTTTCTGGCTTGATCTGCATGTTGCCATGTTTCATGTCGATTTGGCAAGGAAGCTGTTCCAGGTTTTTGTGGGGTCTACCCTTTGGTTCCGTTCACTCCATGTTCGCTCCCGAATCCAGGAGGGCTGGCAGAACCTCCTCCTCGCGCGTGGCCTGCGGCTCCTGCGTTTGGCGCGCGTCTTTCGGACCTTGAAGCGTTTCAAGGCGAACGAAGCTGGTTGAAGAGACCCGGTGGATGGATGATACACGGCATACACGTCCCTTCAATGGCAAGTGGAGTGAAAAACACCTGCTGAGCCAGAGGAACATCGTCCTACAAGTGGCCAACTTCCACTTCCATTTTTTTTGTGTGCGGAGTGGCTATTATCATATACTGTAATATAAGAACCCATTGTATATAATATAGGTGTGCGTGTCCTGGGAGTCCTTAGGTGGCACGATGAGGAACTTCCTTTACTTAAATGGCTTAAACAGATTAAAAAAGGCAGCATTTTTAGATCCTAGATCTACGGTTTAGTCTTGGGTAGCATGGCTGGTCTACAACTGGGTTGTGGTGTGGGTGAGTGGGTGGGTGGGTGGTGGTCATTTTTCTTCCCCGGTCAGTTGAGCTTCATGTTTCTCGACTGAGGGGACGAAGGGAGTAGATGCATAATAATGAGGTGAGCACAAGCTGTTTGGCAAGGCCAAGTCACATGCAAGGATGACTTGCTGATTATGCAGTGGTCATCGAATTCACTTGATGGAAAGGGATTCAGCACTGGCCAAATGAAGAGCCTGCATCCTTTTCATCCCTTTTTGTAAAGTTGCATCCCCACTTCCAAATGAAGCGAGTTTCTGTGGTGTTTCCAGCGAACATGGCGCCCATGCTCGAACACGACCTTGCGTAGTAGGACCAAAAGCTGGCGGCCCACATGCTTCTTTAAGCTGAATCAGGGCTCGACAGATTCTCACTCCTGGCAGGTGGTTTGGCGCCTGGTCTCGGGCCTCTTGTCGGCCGCTTGAGGGCAAGGACCGACCAGAAGAGCCCCAGACGAACGGACCGACCAGAGGGCAACCTACTAGGGTTCAGGGGTCACTTTGCAACTGGCGGTCAGTTTGTATGTGTATTCATATGTATAATGATGCATGCTTATGGTTATATATACTTTCTTGCGTGCAAGAGATGTGGTTGAACCTTGGCTCAGGTCTTAAGCGCCGTTTGATTGGGCCCCCTTTCTCTCCACAGTTAAAGCCAGGAATGGACTCACAAAGGCGCGTACCGGTCAGACTGCCAAATGCCTTAGCGTTTGGACCTCGGGGCCAAAATCGTTCGTCCATCCAGTTCGAGGTTTGGGACACGATGGCCAGCACGACCTGTTTGATCCTCCTGTGGCTCTACATCTTTGGCTGTATCGCTATGGCCGCCCGGACTCCGACCCTCCAGTCTCCGCGGAGCCGAGTCCGGTGCACGTCGGACGGTTCGGAACGGGGGAGTTCTCACCCTGACCGAAGTGTGGGCTGGTCGAAGCCTGATTTGGTGGCGAGTTTGGGCCCAATTTTCACTGGCGCCTTCAGTTCCCCTTCTATGTCGTGATGTCGCGATGTATGCATATAGACACATCTAAGAGTCTAGAGAAACTCTTTGGGTTAGAGCTTGCACATCTTCAGCACTGATGGAACTTGCTTGAGCATGAGACGAGCTTCGAGTCTGAAAGTCCGTGTCAGAGGAAAATTCCACAGCTGCATGAAGCAACCCTCCAAGAACTGGGGTCATGAAATTCCGATGGGATTTGCGGCAAAGCTCACGGATTTGCGGGGATGTGTTATGTGTTTTTCTGTTTTCTTGGCGTATTGAATTGAAGCTTTAAAATGGAAGATCTGCGGCACCTGGCTGAAAGGGACAATTTGCACAAAGGGAAGTTCTGGGCACACTAGGAAGTTCTGTGCACGTTACCTTTTGTCATTGCGATGTTCTGTAGAGATGTCACGAAGGAGTCAGAAGCACCTGGATGCAGGTTCAAAAGTCAATGGACCAAACATATGAGAATGGTGAGGATTTCTGGAATCTACCAACTTCCACAATTTATGTGTCAGTTATGTTGTTCTTTTTGGTATGCACTACTTAGGGTTTCTCCATGACCACAGCCAGTAACATATATAAAGATGTTTGACCAATGGGTTCCCCAGATTGAGACGGCGAGTCTTGAGTAGCTTCTTGTTACTGGTAGCTACTTGCTCCTAGTAGTACGGCCAGGAGCCCCTAGTAGCGTCCTTGCTCCTAGTAGCAATGCCAGGAGCCCCTAGTAGCTTCTAGCAACTAGAGATTTTGACGTCTTATAATTAGGAGGTTGTGCCACCACGACCTACGCAAATTGACCAAACACATCCAAATACACAATCATGCATGTAGCGCATGACCCACACGCAGTGAGTGTCACTTGAACTAAATCCGGGTCCATGGGTCAATTCTTCGAGAAAAACACACTAGAAGAAGATCCAACCCAGACCATCCGTGTATGAATAATGTTTTTTGATGTTTTTTGTATTTTGTACATTAACCCCATGTATGACCTAATGTAAGTAACTATATATATATATATGTATATTCAAGTCCCATGGATGGTTTGGGTCCCATGGATGGAACGATAGATCCTCAAAAGTAACTCTTTGGACATCCCATCCTCGAAGTTTGAGGCTTTGCAGGTGTTTCCCCTTTTACTTCCACGGAGGAAGTGATCGCCAGCGATGATGAGCTGAAGGCCAACGAGCGCACGAGCGGCGTGGTGGTGCCTTGGTGCGGTAGTGCCTGGCGGCGGCGAAAGGTTTGGAGGACTTCGCTGTTCAGAAGACCCAGCTGTATCCAGGTAGACCCTTGATGAATCAACCCGCCCAATTGAATGGAATTCACCTCTTTAATGGATTTTAATGGGGGGTTACTGCAAAACAAACATCCAGAGCCTGCATGCCGATCTTTGGATGTCGAACCACGACCTCTTGGGACGGTTGGGATGTTTGGAGTCCACGCTGAATACTTCGGCCAAGGTCCCCGTCGTTCACTCGGTCTGAGCCCGACCAGTGTGTTGTTTTGTGTGTTTTTGTTTCTCTCTCTCTCTCTCTCTTTCTCGCTCTCTCTCTCTCTCTCGCTATCTCTTTCTGTTATACTTCCTCGAGAGGTGGCAGCAGGCAGCATTCCGATGCGTTTGATAAGCATGATGATCCAAGCAGGATCGGAGTCAACAGGTGTTCGACACTCTTCATGTCTCATCACGCACGGGCACAAAAATCTCTGATTCCGTGGGTCTTTGACTGAGACAAGGCCAAGAGGAATGGGAGCGAGCAGTTGCACACATCCTTTCAGAACCATCAACAAACACCTAAGGTGCAATGGGCTGTAAACCTACCAAGGTGAATATGGTGAATCAAGGTGAGAAGAAACGAGTCAACACATGCCACTTCTCTTGCCAGCAGTTAGAGGGAAAAGGTCACATCTACCACAAAATTTCATCTGGGCAAAATGAATTCACAGCTGCGCTGGTCCAACTGGCCCGGCTCAGTTGGACCACTTCAGCAGCTTGCCACGGGCCACCTTGACCTTGCTCCAGTTTGTCACCTTGGAGCTTCGATTCCGTCAGAGTTGGTCGGAGCGGCGGGTGGGATCGGGTTCGAAACACAGGGTTTCGAAGCACCGTGTAGAAAAAGGAATCTGATAATAAGATATAGGAATCTTGTAGGTATAGGAATCTGATGCAGTTGCGTCATATTACAAGATATGATGTGGTCTTTTTATTGGGCCTTTTTGCTTGACGGGGGTGTGGATATACTGTGATTACATTGTCATATATGGATGTTTATTTTCAGAGTGTTCATCCTTCTACTTAGCTTGATTTCCGAGGGGACACTTTTGCCAGTCGTGTCCGGACACTCCGGATTTCAGACCCCCCATAGATCTCAGCCTCCCCCAAAAATGAACAGCAGCCGGGTGGCTTCCTGAAAAAAGTTCCTGGCGATGCTATGCTTCGGCTGTCGTGGGCGCAGTGGGATACCACTTGATTACTTGTAGACTTGACCCTTGCAGTTTTGCTATTGGAATGTTACCCTTGGAGGTACAGGCGCGATCGGTCAAACCAAGCAACCTCCCAAAACACTCCAAGCATTGCCAATTTCTCAGCCTTCGACTTCCCTGGCAGGTGAAGGAATACACAGAAAAGGGTCAGGGCAGGCCACTCCCCTCCAAAAGTTATATAACATTCGCTCACTTTTCTTGGAGCTCGGACTTGTGAAGATGGACTTCGGAAAAAGGAAACGCCCAAACTTGCTCCCCCAACAAAAAAGAAACACACACACACACCGAGGACGCCATTGCGAATGTCTACTTCCCCTTAGTCACCGTGAAGCCGGTGCCTTGAGCTGAAGATTAGCGAAGCGAACACTCACACCAGGAGACGATGGTATCCTCCTGAAAACTTCTGGTGCTTTTTTGTGTGCTGAAGCCCCCCCCTTTTTGTTGGTTTTTCTTCTCTCTACTTCAGAGCTCAGACGAAGTTGTTGGAGCACCTTTCAGGTGCCCTGACAGGTCACCGACTTCCTTTCAGTGCGATTCTCGAGCACCTTTCAGGTGCTGATCATTTATTTTCTGCCCTTGCTGATGTTTCTGTCCATCGCACTGATGAATCTCGTCACTGCGGTCCTGGTGGAGCACGCGTGCCTCGTTTCCTGAGACGGCTCGGGGTGAAACCGAGAGACGGGGCCCGTTTCCTGGAGGCAGCTGCACCAGGAGAAGCCGCTATGGAAATCTATGGCCAGGAAAATGAAAAGGATGGAGAAATATTGAAAAAAGTCATGGTGAGTCAGTACAACGGTTTCACTTGTTTCTTTTGGACCGGTCGGCATTGGTTGTGCTTAGCCATTGACGGAACCATTCTGGCCCCAAGACCAGAACCATGGGGTTTTCTCCAGGACGGTGGTGGCACCGGCGCCCAGAGACCTCAAGACCAACGCAGAGACCCCCGGAGAGCGTGGAATTGCCCTTTGATTTTGCTTTGGCCTACCGTATGTAGACACACACACACACACATATATATATATATACATGGGCACCTGTTGCACATCATGTTCAGTGGTTGGTGCCTTTCACTCCATCATCAAAAGAACTGATGATTGGCACAACACCTGGGATTTTTTGTTGCGGTCCATGAGCTTTTTGTTCTCCATCCACTGGGCAGCCTCAACTTCTTCAAACTGGCCAATCTCCGACCTCAAATCATGGAGACGCATGCTGGCCAGCCTTGTGCGCCCTCAGGCTGGAGCATGCCTCACAGGAGGCCGAACTGGCAAAGCTCAGCCACTTGGAAGTCCATCGAAGTGCTTTTTGGCACTTGGACGTTCGCTGCTTACGTACGTCCATCTACCCTGAAACTGTTGTGTTTGAGCTTTTGTAGTTGCCTCCGTTCATGGGAAGCGGACCTGCTTTCCTGTAGCAAGTCGGTTGCTGTGCTTCCATGTTCGTTGGATAGATTCGGATAGGCCTAAGGGAAAGTTCAAGACGCCAAATAGAAGAACCACCTCTTTTGTTTGATGACCCAGCCTCCTTTGTAGTACCTAGCATTGGTTCTGCCAGCCGCCCTAAATTGTTCAAGATGGACATTTTGAGTGGATCCATTGACATCCAAACTGCCAATTTGGCAGCCCAAGGCTACATTGACATGCCAAGCATTTGCCAAACCCCTTTTTGCAAGCAGATTTCCTTAGGTGCCTGTCCCGTAGCAGAAGACCTGGGGCATTTGGGAACCCTTTGAGGACCCGCCGCAGCCAGGAAAGAAACAACAAATCAAAGCCACGTTGCCACAGCTCTTGGAAGCCCGGCTGTTGACGGTTTTTGGGGATGTGAAGCCTCGCACCGACCGTGTGTGTAGTCTTAGTCGTCTCAGTCGGTCACGGGGCGGTTTGGAGATCCGAAAGTGAAAGCCCTTTGGACCTGGACCGGCGGCGTAGGCCCTGCTGCCGTGCCGTGTTTTTTTTTCATGTTTTGAAGAGCCGGCAAGATAGGGGAAGTGGAACACAGGCTAGAGCTGCAAGCATTTTTCGGGCCACGTACTTTGCTGTTTGCCCGACTTGTTGGAGGAAGTGGTTGGACTTTGTGTGGGTTTCCATGAGTAATGAAGGGTTGGTGTCCTAGTGTCCTAGTGATGTGACAAAAAATGGCATTTGTTGACAGAATCCTCGCCTGGGCCGGAATCCTCACCTGGTCCTGTTGCAGTCCATGGCTTTTTTGGGTGTGCTGCTGGGTTTTTGGTGGTTGGCCACCGAGGAAATCTTCGGAGGCCTCGACGCGGATGGGAGTGGCTTTTTGACGAAAGAAGAGGTGGCTGGGGTTCCGCTGGATGTGCTACCGCCCAATGTTCTGGAGCATGTCTCAGTGGACAACATGGAAGACCTCTTCGAAATGTATCTTGGCAAGCTGGCAAGGAGCATCGCATGGAGGATAGCAGGGGGGAGGAGCTTCGCGGCGAGTTCCAGAGTGGCAGCACGCCACAGCGCCACAGCCAATCGGTGTGTGGACCAAATCAGACAGGAATTCGCACTCCGAAATGCCTTGAAGCCACCGAGAGAGAGAGAGAGAGGGTGAGAGAGAGCTCCTGCGACCGTTGGCTTCGGCTCCGCTTCGCTTGGAAGGACCAGGGACCGATGTGGTGCACGGCACCTGCGCGGCACCCGCACGAGCGGAGCGCGGGAAGGACCTGGGTGGTCCAGACCCATTGAGTCACATGAGTCACGGATGGCCGAACTCGAAAGATCTCGATGGCCGCATGTTTGGCATCCTAAAATTGGCTCCAGTTTGGTTTCATCCCATGCTTTGTTCAGAGTGGGACCGAAGAGACGCGCAGATCCCAGATCCTCTCCATGCGATTGAAAGAGATCTTATTTCGAAGGGTAGGGTGATGTCAATGTAAGGGGTCAAATAGGGCAAAACCGACACACAAACACACAGCGGATGTTCGTGAAGGCGACCAAAACCGCTGGGGTTTGGCCCACCAAGCCCCCAACCGGAGCTGGTCGCCCCGATCCAACGACTGGCGTCCAACTCGTCCACCAAGGTTGGATATGGATGGCGGTGGCAGCTTAACCCAGGCGAGAGAACCGGATCATGGGAGAGAACCCGTTGGGACGTTCGAAAACCACACCGGGCACCTGCCCCGGTGGCAGAGGCCATTTTGAGGGCCTTCTCCCGCCCACTTGGCTGAACTCAACTTCTCACAAGACTTGAATAATACAAAACACCAGACATCCACAGCCAGTGGTGCTGTTGGATTGCTTCCTTGGATTGTCTCTTTATTGTCTCTTCTATAGTTTCACAGTATAATATAGAATATATATATATTAACTATTAACATTGTTTGTATGTACAGCCCATATATACTCCGCTATAGGTACTGCAGACACGTGACTCTTGACGTATTTTGGCTCAAGGGAGAAAAGGCGTTCCGAAACGTCGAAACTTTGTTTTCATGGTAGCGCGTGAGCCCGGTGAAAGCGAAAGGGACCAAGCGCTGCGCATCAAGGAGGAGAGACATAGTAAGGTAGAGACCTCCGAGGAGGAGGATCAGGAAATCCCGGGAGCGGCCGCCTCGGCCGCCCCGAGTGGAAAGGAAGATAAGGAGGAGGAGCCTTTGCCAGCCACATCAGCGGCGGAACCAGCCGCGAACACCACTCCGGCGGTTGTAGAAACTGCCGAAACAACATCAGCGGTTGAGGGAACCGCAGAAACAAAAGAAGAAGAAGAAGAGACCACAAAAGAGAAAGAAGGAGGAGAAGAAGAAAAGCCTGAACAAGACCCCATAGTAGAGCCAGAGGCTGAAGCGGCTGATCCAGCCGCACAGCCTTCATCCGGCCGAGTGATCGCCGACTTCATCACATCCCCCGAAGGTGTCAAAACAGGTCTCCAATGAAGCGGACTTGATATCGTCCGATAGGGTTTCCCTGATCCCTGCGGCACTCCTCCGAGACTCGTACCGCCTGATGAGCTCTTCGAGCTGTTCGATCGCTGGCCTCACCGCGGCCCATGTCTTGACTCTCTCCGGTTGGAGAATCGCTCGAAGTATATTGCGTTTCCGTCCCGAGGTTCGGGGATCCCAACGGCGGTGAACTCGCCGATATGCTTCAAACCCATTTGAAGCTCCTACCATCAAATCCTCTGTTTCACCTGAGGTTAGGGTCAGGAGCGCGCGATGGATCTGATCAGCCTTATCCTCAAGGTCACCGATATCAGTCACGGTGCCAGTCCCAAACTCTTCTTCTATTTTAGTCATCTCAATCGCGTCTTCCTGTTCCAGAATGTACTCTAGGATTTCGATGAACTCTCTCCCAAAAGTAGTTATGAACAGGTTGTCGATGCTCCTGGCCCATTTTCGGAAATCCCCTTCAACATTCCCAAAACTCTCGGAGCGTCCCAAACCTTTGGTGTCCATAAGGATTTGGGTCTTCCTCCTATCTTCTTTCTTCTCAAGGCTCTTAGCCAATTCTCCTACAGCTGAGGCTAGCATTGATACCCCGCCTTGAGACTCCCTCAACACCTGATTCTCTTGCTCCAACCTCGTTTGGTTCTGTTGGAGTTGAAGTACCATTTCACTCAGTTGTTGGATCTGTTGTTCCATGGTTTCCTACCCTCAACCCCTGCTGCTGCTGCCGCTCGCTCCTTTTCCAGCGGCAGTCGCGGGCGGTTCGCCCGGTCAAGGATCGGAAGGTTTTGGCACTCCACGGACTTCAACTGTAGTCCGTGTGAGTTCTTCCGGGCGACGACCCACAGCTGTGGCCTTCGCTTTAGCCGCCACTTTTGGTGCGGCGGATGGTTTGGCCTTCCCTTTTGGTCCGGCCTTCGATTTGGCCTTCTCTTTCGGCCCAGGTGTCAGGCTCACTTTTGGTGCCGCCTTTGTCTTGGCGGTGGATCCGACACGGGCAGGTCCCTTAAGCCCACGCCGATTGATGTAGTCCTGAACCACGGGCAACTGTGCCTGCCGCCGTTCGTCACAAGAACTACAAGCCTCATTGGATCCTCTCTTTCCCTGTTCGTTGGGGGTCTTCCAGAGTTCGCGAATGGCGGCCAGCGCAACGGTACCTTTGAGGTTTCGTTGCTCACAAAGTTCGTCGGCCGCAAGCTTTCGCACTTGGAACGGGCTCTCTAATTTCCAATTTTCTATCGTCAATCGCTGGGCCCGTTCGTTGGCTAGGGCGACGATGCGGAGGTTCAACTCCAGTGCACGCCCCCAGACCGCCCGTCCCCGCCCGGTGTCGCGGGTTTGCGGTCGCTTAGCCGGCGGTGGCCCGTCCGGTGTTCGAGGCTGTCGAACCGGACTTGGATGGCTCACCGACTCTTCTTCTTCTTCTTCGACCTCCTCCTCCTCGGCTGGATCAGCCGCTTCTGAGGTCTTCCTTTTCTTGGTCCGCTTCTCCTGATTGCGGACCCTTTGCTCTTCCCGCTCTTCTTTGATCTCTTGCGGAGTGCGCCCTTTTCCGAACTCTTTGATGCGCCTCCTCAGATCCTCTGTGATGACACCCTTCTTCTTCTGCAACCTGACCAGGTCCTTGAGCCTCCGGTATTGAAGCGAGGTCTTGCTTCGAAGTCGAAATCCGGACTGTGGCTCTGGATGCTTCTTGACCTGTCCCCAAATATTCTTCTTCACCCTCCAAGGCGCTTTGGGATCAACCTTGGCTTCAGTATATTTGGTGTGAATGCCACCCAGACTTGGAGAAACATCTTTTGTTGAACAAGAGTAGATTGACAACTTATTCGTTGATCAAACAAGAGATTGAACTTGTCATTGAAACATCCCTCACATCGAAATCATCTGTTCCAAAACCAGGTTCATCGAGTTCGAGTTATCAAGGACCTCAACCCATGGACGTCGATTCGATCGGACAATGGATCGCAAGCCTGGTCAAAGGAAAAGGTAAAGGAAAAGGTAAACAGGCCAAAGGTGATGGGAAGAAAGGCTCAAGCAAAGGGGGCTCAAGTAAAGGCTCAAACCCGGCTCAAGATATTGCCTGCTACAATTGCGGTAAGAAAGGACACCGAGCGGCCGATTGCTGGAGCAAGAAACGGCCGGAAGGAAAAGGCGATAAGTGGTCAGGTTCAGGCAAAGGAGACAAGAGTGGTAAAGGTGGCAAAGGCAATAAAGGCAAAGGTGGACGAAGCGGCAAAGGTAAAGCCGCAGGAAGTATGGAAGAGATGGACGATCCGGATGATGGCGTTGAGCCAGCTCCGGAGGCTGATGTCGGAATGCTCATGGCAGACTTGAGTGGAATTGGAATGGCGGACACCTCATCCGCCGAAGAATGGATGAAGTTTAACCTGGACACTGGAGCAGCAGCCCAGACAGCCATCCCGAATGGCTGGGAGGATCGAGTGGTTGTCAGTGAAGGCAACGGAGTTGTATTCAAGACTGCATCAGGAGAGTTGGTGCCCAGTCAGGGCATTGGAACCTTTGAAGGGTTCGACGAGAGCGGCAACAAGTGCCGTGTGAAAGGTTCAATGGCCGATGTTCACAAGCCATTGATCTCAGCGTCCAAGTGCTTAGGCTTTGGAAGGATTGCAGTTCTTGATGCAAATGGCGGAAACTTGATTCCGCAAGGGTCCAAAGTTGGAAAGGCTGTCCAGGCGATCCTGGAGAAAGCGAACGCTGCAGAGCAGCGGAGTTGGATCCCTCTTTATCAGGAGCAGGGAGTGTACAACTTCTACTTGAGAAAGCCAGGGTATAAACCGGCAAAGGAATGCTGTGGTATCGCAGAGTTGAACGCCACAGGAGAAAGAGGAGATGCCTCTATGGATTCAGGCCGACCTGGTCCAGAGGGGCGAGAAGAGGATGATGAGTTGGAATTAGTTGATGAGGTTGAGAAACCCATCCAGATAAGAGCACCGGAGGACCCAACTCCGGCTGAGATTGAAGAGCACGAGGCGACAGGCCATGTGCAGTATCGAAGTTGGTGCCGGCATTGCATTGCTGGACGGGCTGTAGGACAGCCACACCGGACGAGGTCCGAGGAAGAGAAGGCCAAGAGCCTTGTGCCCACAGTGGCAATGGACTACACGTTCATGTCACGGGGCGGTGTGGAGGACGAGCGAGTGAAGCCGATCCTCGTGGTGAAGGATGAGAGGACACAGTCCTTAGCGGCGACCTTCGTGGACTCGAAGGGGGCGACGCCGTATGCAGTGAAGTTCGTGGCGAACTTCTTGAAGAACTTGGGGCACCGCAAGGTGGTACTCAAGTCAGATGGTGAACCATCCGTGGTAGCCTTGAAAGAGGCAGCGGCGAAAGAAACCAGCATAGACTGGGTTTCGGAAGAGTCGCCAGTAGGAGACCATCAGGCGAATGGTCTGGCAGAGAACGCCTGCAAGGAGATCAAGCGTCAAGTACGAGTTCTCCGCAGCGCGTTGGAAGAGAAGCTCGGCAAAGAGCTCAAAGATGATGATCCTGCATTGGCATGGCTGCCAAGACAGGCGGGAGACCTGCTGAGCAGGTACAAGAAAGGTCAAGATGGCAGAACGCCTGAGGCCAGAAGATGTGGAAAGCAATGGCGAAAACCTGCCATAGCTTTTGGTGAACGCCTATACTTTAGAGAAGTAGGCGAGGGAGTTCGCATCCTGAAAGAAGGACGCTATGTAGGACACCATGGCCGAACAGGATCCATTTTGGTGATGACGGCCGATGGCGTGCGCAGAGGCACAGGAATCCGGCGGCTGAGTTCAGCCGACCGCTGGGACCCAAGTGATTGGGGCCTTTTGCGGGGCTTACCGTGCAAACATTCCGCGGCAAGGCCTGCCGGTGAGCAGCTGATGCTCGAAGAGCGCCTTGTGGTACCACCTCCCAAGGAGGAACGAGTGGCACCACCACAACAGAGGCGAGTGTACATCAGGAGAGAGGATGTGCACAAGCATGGAGCCACAGAAGGCTGCCCAGGATGCAAGTGCATCTTGGAAGACAAGAGGACGACCTTGCCGCACACAGAGGCGTGCAGAGCAAGGATCACCGAAGCAATGGAAAAGGATGAAGCTGGGCAAGCGAGACTTGAAGCCCATGCAAAGAAGAGGAAAGAACGGCAACAGCTTGACACTGTGAAGCCGAAAGTCGTGGCCGATAAGGACACTGACTGACATCACAGCCGAAGACGCGGCCGGAGAACCAGAGAAGAAAGAAGAAGCAAAGAACACAGGGCCGGGAAGCTCGCCAGCAGCGGTAGAGGGTGAGAAGACCTATCCCGATGACCCGAAAGAGAGATATGAGATGAAGAGGCAAGCAGCCGAGATAGAGAAGAAACCAGTGGCAAAAGCCAAGGTAGCAACAGAGCCCAAGAAGAGAACAGGAGAACTTCGGATAGATCCACCTGGGGCAAAGGTCAAGCCGAATCCAGTTCAAGGAGCAAAGAGGTCAGCAGAGACCGCCGTAGAAGACCTTGATCCCAGGGTGGAAGAGAGTCCAAAGAAAACTGAGATGTTTTCATATGTTCCAGAAACACCACCAGCAGGGTGGAAGCCAGATGCAGCCAACTTGGTAAAAGAGAAGGAGATCGCAAAGCAGCATCTGAAGAAGATCATTCAAGGAACCTATGAGGCAAATGACATCGAGATCTCTGAGCAAGAGATCGGAGACATCGCTCATTTGAGCATGCAGATGTCAGCAGTAGATATCATGGAGATCTACTCGCCCAAGAGGTTCACTGCGCTTGCAGAGCGCTACAAGTTGCGACCGGGTTTTGTGGTCGACTTGAATGAGATGAAAAGCGATGGAACATACTGGGACTTGAACAAGCCCGAAGATGTTCAAGAAGTGCACGACATCCTTGAGAAGGACGAACCGGCGCTTTTGACTGGTTCGCCACCGTGCCATATGTTCTCACAGCTCCAGAACCTCAACTGGAGAAGCATGGCACCGGATGTCCGGAGGAGGAAAATGGACGAAGCCGTCCACCATCTCCATACGAGCGTAGAGCTGTATGCCAAGCAGCATCGCTCAGGGAGAAGATTCCTCCACGAGGCACCTTGGTCCGCAACTAGTTGGAAGGATGAGAAAGTTGCGGCCTTAGCAAAGGAAGATGGAGTGTTCATAGTGAAGGGTCCAATGTGCAGGTGGCAAATGATGGCCACTGACAGAAGAGGACTCCAAGGCACCGGCTATGTGAGAAAGGAGACCGGTTGGATGACCAACGATGAAGGGTTAGCCAGAGTCTTGCAAGGAGTCTGCTCGAATGAATCGGGCAAAGGACCATGGCACCGACACATCCATCTGATCGGAGGCATTGCTAGGCAAGCAGCGGTATACCCACCGCAGCTCGTGAAAGCAGTGCTGAGGAGCCTGCGTGACACACTAGTTGAGAAAGGTGAGTTGAACACCTTTGATCTGTTTGCAGCAGGCCCAGTTCCAGAGATGCCTCTGATGGAACCTGAGTTCGAAGAAGTTTACATGGATGATGTGAACGGCGGCGTTTTGCCAGCCGAGAAAGTGAAAGAGGCAAGACGCCTTGAAATGGATTATTTGAAAGAAAAGCATTGTGTTTATGTGCCTCGGCCGAGAGCCGAATGTTTTGAGGAAACGGGGAAGCCCCCGATTCCAGTCAGATGGTTGGACACCAACAAGGGAGACCCAACCAACCCAAACTATAGGAGCCGTTTAGTTGTGCGTGAGATCAAGGCAAGAAAGACCAAAGAAGAACAATTGCCAGCCAACTTGCTTTTCAGCAGCACGCCCCCACTAGAGGCGATGAGACTGCTGTGCTCGTTGTGGGCAACAAAGAGAAAGTCCTGCCACAACCAGCCGCTGAAGCTGGGCTTGTGGGACATCTCACGAGCACACTTTTATGGAACTCCAAAGAGAAAGATCTACATAGAGCTGCCGCCTGAGGACGAAGCCAGCAAAGATGGGCAAACCTGTGGACTTCTTGTGAAGTCGATGTATGGAACACAGGACGCTCCAAATATCTGGCAGACGCACTACACAGAGACTCTGCAGAAGGCTGGTTTCCGCAGAGGCTTGTCAAATGCGTCAGTCTTCTACCAAGAAGCTTGGGACGTCAGAGTGATGGTGCATGGAGATGACTTCCTAGCGCTTGGAGACACCCAACACTTGGAGAAGCTCAGCCAAGTCCTCAAAGATGCCTATGAGCTGAAATGTCTCGGAATTCTTGGAGACGAGGATGGAGACCGAACAGAAGCTCATTTTCTGAATCGGTTAATCCGAGTTGATAAGAAGAACGGCAAAGGATCAATTGTGATCGAAGCCGATCGGAGACATGTTGATCTTTTGATCCAGGCATTTGGTCTGGAAAAGGCAAATGGTGTAGAATCACCAGATGTCAAGAAGTCGGCAGATCAGCAGATGCTGGAAAGCCGCAGTCCGCTGCTTGATAAGAGCGAGGCATCGAAGTATCGTTCAGCTACGATGCGTGCTGCGTACTTGTCCCAAGATCGACTTGATATTGGGCACGCAGTCAAAGACCTTGCTCGAGGTATGGTATCACCAACAGAAGCCAAACTTGCTGACTTGAAGCGTCTCATCAGGTACTTGAAGAAATACCCTGATGTTGGGCAATGTTTTGGCTCGCAGCAGACGCCCTCAAGGCTGAGGGTGCAGGTCGATGCCGACCATGGTGGTGACGCTGTGACGCGCAAAAGCACGACTGGCATGGTTGCTATGTACGGCATGCACGTGTTGAAACACAGTAGTAACATCCAATCCACTGTAGCCCTTTCTACAGGTGAGAGTGAATACTACGCACTTGTGAAGGGAGGATCTGTGGGCTTAGGCCTCCAAAGCCTATGCGCAGACCTTGGTTTGGATTTGGGAGTCACTATCGAAGGCGATTCCAATGCAGCCAAAGGAACTGTGAATAGAGTGGGTTTGGGTAAAGCCAGACACATCCAGACTCGCTACCTATGGTTGCAAGAAAGGGTTGCCGAGGGCCACTTGAAAGTGCACCACGTTCCAGGTCTCACGAACAAAGCCGATGTTTTGACCAAGTCGGTTCCTGGGGTGCAGCTTCGCAAAACCATGGAGGATCTGCAATATGCATTTCTCAGCAAGCGAAGCAAAGGACAGTTAGATGTTTTGGAGTAAGGTCCCTGTGGCTAAGCAGCGAAGAGTTTCACATGTTTACTTTTAAGCTTGCGCAGCAGTACAGTGCTTTGCAAGAGGAGGAGTGTTTGTATGTACAGCCCATATATACTCCGCTATAGGTACTGCAGACACGTGACTCTTGACGTATTTTGGCTCAAGGGAGAAAAGGCGTTCCGAAACGTCGAAACTTTGTTTTCAAACATCTATTGTATAATCATATGATTTTAATAATGTGCTGTACTCGTGTCCACCTTATAGAGATGTAAAGTAGATGCGGATCTTCCAGTTCTTCGAATGATTTGGGAGATGCCACTCCATGAAATCTCCTCGGGCGGGCGCCCCTCGTCCAGTCCGAGCACCTGGGAGGCCGAATTCCTAGATGGGCTCCTGAGCCTTCTGCTTTTGGACATCCCTATCTGGGCCATACAGTTGCAGAAGCTCTTGATGCCCATGCGGAGACTCATCTGAGAAGTTTGGGCGTGCTGTCGCAAAGGGTGGGTGGTGCTTGGGTGTGAGATGGTGTGAGTGATGATGATAGTGATGATGCATGGCAGTTGCTGTTGCGTAGCGGTCGAATCCGGCCACGAAACTCTGCTTGGAACCATGAAGACCCCGCCCAGGAAGAACACGCTGCAGATCTCCAAAGACATGAGCTCCATGGTGCAGATGGCCCATGAGATGCCAAACATCATTCAGATGTCAAAGGACATGCAGCTTGGCCAGGGGCGTTTTGATGAGTTTTGTAACCACCAGACCCACCGGGACCCCTTCTTCCTTGTCCCAACGTGGAGTCCGCATGTTCATGATGAAAACTGATTGCATGTTGGTCTTTCACCCACCAAGGTCGTGGGAGCGTCATGGGTTTGTGGTGGACTCATCAATTGGTAGCAAGTCGAAGTCTGGTCTTTTGATGGGATTGATTTTGAGGGTATTTGATGGCTGTATGTTAGTACGTTTTTGCATTTTTTGGTGAGGGTGTTTGTACCATGTATATGTGTCCCTCATATTGAATAGAAGATACATTGATTTTTTGATGAGACTTGATGATAATTTGCCCTATGTATGTATATGTTTAATGGTATACTGTAATAGATTTGGCATTATATATGATATACCAGATGCATCCAAAGGGTGCCCAATGGACACTCCTGGTGATCTACCCTGCCAGGAACAAACAGGGGTTCCAACCCTTAAACTGGAGAACCACGAAATGGGGAGTTCCTAAGGTCGGGCGACACGGAATGACACGATAGGTGCTACATCGGGTTTTATCAAGGTATGTCCATTTCACACCCCTTAGCTTTAAAGTTTGCCCCATGGGCACCCCTAGGTTTCCTCGGGCTTTGCGACACGGAATGACGCGCAATGACACGCAGGCTGCTGGCATCTCCAAGCGTACTTTAGGGAAAACTCAAAGAGCACGGTGGTCCAAAGGTGCATGCTTCACTGATACTTATCAAAGACTAAGATTTCTAAGGGGTGCCCAATGGTTTACCCCTTAAGGGGTGCCCAATGGACAAGAGTCGGATGCAGCTGGTATGTTATATATATATACATTGCTTGATTTTACATGCCCTCACCCGACCACATCCCCCATGGACGAGGCTGTCCCAGATGCTTCGTAGCAAATTATTCTTCTGAGACACGCTTGGAACATTTTGGAACATCTTGACAAAAAGACGTGTGGTTTGGTCTTCTTTGACAATTTGATATGTTTTTTGTGTGTTTGTTCCTCCGGCAGTTCACCTGAGGCAGTTCATCAAAGAATTTCACCTGGGTTGGTCAGACAGGCCCTGACGCCTCACCGAAGAGACCTCGCGCCGAAGCCGCGCGAGGCGATATACCTCGACCCGTCGTTCGGGTCGCTTTGGGATCCTCAGCGACCGATGGGTGAAGACACCTGCGATCTATCCTGAAGACACCTGTGATCCGTTTGAGTTTTGGAAAGCACGTTGCAGCAGTGATACCTTTTGATATCATTTGATATGGTCAATGTCCATCGATGGAGTCCTTGATTGAGTGATAATATGTTCATCAACTTGCTAGGCTGGTTGATAAAGTCCAGACCCCAAAAAGGAGGAACAGTGAACCCTTTAAAATGCCTGGCAAACCCACGGAAACCATATCTATTTGTTGGAACATGGCACTACCATCCGGACCTTGAAGTGTTTTCACATCGGGCGAAGTGAGCAGATCTCAGAGCTGAGCAGTAAAGCACTGCACAGCGTCGCAGCGTCGTGCCCGTGATGTGGAGGAAAAGGCTGTGTGGGGAGGTTGGATGGCCATGGCCACGAAAGCATGCTTGCTGGGCTGGTGCCTGGGGACTGGTAGTCAGAACATATTGGCTGACAAGTTCGGGAACCTCAAGGACTCTGTCCCTTGAGGTTTTTGGGGGGGGTGGCACCCGGTTTTTGCGCGTTAGGCTGTTGCATGAGGTCGTTCCAACCCTGGGGCGACGGACATGGACGTGACTGACCTCTGGGGGCGCAGTGGAATGTACTGCTGAAGTCTAAGACAGAGGCCGCCTGTTAGCTGAAGAATAGTGGTTGCTTGTCCCAGATCAACCTGCCACAGGTTTAAGAGGGCAATCCGGGTTCCCTGTATTGTGTAACATCATAGTGACTCTTTTTTGCTACGCACATGTTTAGTACCTAAGAATCCGAGCACTGGATTTTCCAAATCAGATTGGCTTGAAATCCATCTCTTCAGCCAGGACAACCCTTTTTTCCTGGCCGTTCGTTTCCTTCTTCATCAATGAATCAATCACCCCATGTTCTCACCTTCGTCTCCTCTTGTTTCACCTCTTGCACCGCTCCATTCATCCCCGCTCCCGACATCGTCGTTAGCGGAAGGACGATAAGATCGATCAGCTGAACGCGGAGCGCCAGCGGATGTGGGAGCTTCGCCGCGGGGCGCAAGCCGAGGCCGAGCGGTGCGCGGTCCGCGGTGCGCGAGCGGTGTGCGAGCCCAGCGCGGTGGTGGCCCGACATGAGGAGCATTGCGGGACTTTCATTCTCCATTCTGGGATGTGCTTACTTTTTTCTCGGGGGGCGGCTTTCTTTTGTGAGATTTGAGGAGGAGAAAGGGGTGATAAAGTGGGGGATTATAGTAATAGTAATAGTAATATAGTGACAGTAGTATGGTAATGAATTGGTGGCTCTGGCTCCTAGGACAGGGAAGCCGCACGAACATGGAGAGGAACAACCAGCACAACTGTGATCGTCTACCCATGTGGTCTGGGTGCATGCGTCCGATGTCAGACTCCTGTAGCCAACCTTTGTGAACTTCAAAGGTGGCCATCGGACCCAACGGACCGAACCTCGACGTGAACTCGTGAACTGCACTCATTTGAGAAGACGTCTGGAAGAAGGCAAGAGCCACCGCGGTAAAGAGGTATAGGTTGATGAACAGGCCTGGGGTTGTTGGATTCCACTCATTTAGCAGCTATTTCTAGCCACCCCTTTCTGCTGATTCATCTTTGGGACCATTGTATGGTACCCCAAGTTCCAAGCTTTAACACCATTTGCCTTTCTCACCCCTGCTTGCACACAAGACTGACGGATCAACGCCCGCTCATTGCTCAACAGAAAGCTTTGCAATTGCTGCGATTGCTGCACTTTATCTAGATCTCTTTGATTCTATTTCAACCCCTTACCCTAGATTCTATCTTCCATGGTTTGCCGGCAGGACTCATGACATAAAATACAATCAAGAGTCTACATTTAGCTGTGAATCAAAACATGTCAACACCTAACCATGGTAGGTTGACAATGGTTCACATCTCTTACATGAGATTTATTAATGTTCATGTTTGGGGCTCAACCATCCCAATAGGCCGAGCGTTAACGCACTAACTAGTTGCCTGGGCTTACAAAAAACAAGCTCAACCATCTTAGGGGTTCCTTCCTCCGAGCTTCGCCTTCACCGAGCGACTCGACACAGGCCTACAAGGCGCGGGAGGCCGTGAAGACGGAGATCCTCCGACAGCGCATCGCCTCCGCCTTCGATTCCAAGAAGCGCCTGGGAGAGGAAGGGAGAGCGTGGATAGAGATTGCATGGGATCTGGAGCAGGATCTGGATTTCTGGTTTTTTCCCAGGAGGGTGGCATTGCCCTTTTAGATGTTCCAGTGCGCAATGAGCCCTTGGCCCTTCAATCTCCCAGTCCCCTGTTTAAGGTGATAGGAAGGAGAATGAGGGAGGGAGATGCCCAGAACCTAGTGACAGGGCCCAACTGGAGAACATGAATCTCTTCAATGTGTTGCTGGCCTTTCTTCTGTGACACCCACCCTACCCACCCACCCTTACCCCAGCATCAGGAAGTCATTTTTTCAGTTTGGGGTCCCAGGAGTGACTTCTTTCGATGGATTTGGATGGGGCCAGATTGATGGGGCAGATTTGCAGTTTTAATCTTGAAGGAGCAATGGGTCCCATGGGTGATACTGCACAACCGTTGTGTTGTGCATGTTTTTTCGAGGGATCTCACACCAAATGAGTACACTGAATCCATCTCATCCATGTAGAGCCAGACCTGCTCCAAAGGAGACCTGCAGAAGTACAGGTGTCACCTCCGCCGGTATCATTTCTTCCCAGCTTGGACAAAGTCTTCAGCGCCTGCCCCAGGTTGGAGAGCAAGTTGGAGGGCCTCATGAAAAGCGACGCTGAGAGTTCGATGATACGCATGGCCGGGGTATGGGTGTTGATGGGTCACACCATGGGGTGGCCACGGGTATATAAATGCAAAACGCACGATTGCATATGCGTGCCTTGATTGATTCAGTGCAGGTCACGGTCACGGGTGCACACCACCGCCAACGGATGGCGAACCACGTGAGGGGTTTCATTGGGATTTGCTTTTGCGGTCGGTGATTCGCTTTTCTAGTTGACGAATGAGCACTTTTGCATCCCAAGTCAGTTGGCTCCTGGACGGCGGTTTTTCGAGGAGCCTCGATCTGGGCAGTCTCGCCATAGCGATCAATCCCGGTGAAAGATGCGCAGTCCTTTTCCAGGTTCCTCGAGCAAGTCCGTGCCTACAAGCCAAAACGCATTTGAAGAGCCCCTTCTCCCACTAGAAAAACAGGGAGTGGGAATCCGAAAATTTGCAGAAGGTGATCCAATGATCCAACGTACAACCCCACAACAGAGAGGATGTTTGGAACATCTTGGAACTGTTTTTTTTCCGTTTTTTTTCCGTTTTTTTTTCCTCCCGCCTCATCTACATGGATTCACGTTCGTTCGGCCAGGTGTTTCCATGAGCTTCGGGACGTTTGTGACGTGACCGGGACGACCAGCTGGGACGACCAGCTGGGACGACGCCAAGGAGATGTTCAGCGCCAAAGTTCTGTCCAACAGTCATTCCATGCCTGCAGTGAGAGCCAATTAAGGAGTTTTGACACTGGCATCCTCCGAATGGAGATGCACCTGATGCTGGAGTTGTGATGTTGTCCCTGTGAACTTCACAGCCTACAAAATACTTTGGAATGCCTCCGAAGAACCTATGAGCATCTACAGTAGGCGGACTTCAGGCCAATTGAAAAATTAAAGCATCGGATTGGCTGTGCCAACTTTCTCTTGCCAGCTTTGCACGCACCGTAGCCTCGTGAGTGAGGTAGTGAAGCATGACACATTTGCTTGATGACATTGCATGCACAGGGGCCAGATTTCTTAAGGTTGCACAGTGGCAAAGACCATCAAAGACCGAAGCTTTGTCCAAGAGTGAGAGAGATGTTGCGGTCTTGGATGTTTGAACATCGGCATGGATCAATTTTCCTCCAGAGATGTTGCCGTTTCCCTTGACGATTCAGTTCATCTAAGCAGATGTGGATGCAGGCGATGGCCAGGCGACGCGTTTTTGTCGGCGTTGGTGGTCCTGGGCTGAGCGCAGAGTTGGTGCTAAAAAGGGTACTGATATATGTTCATAAGGAGGCCAGGCACCGGGGTTAGCTCCATGTCTTTCAACTGCCATGCTTCATGTTCCGTGCTTCTGTGTTCAGTTTCCTCGCCCGAGGGAAAACTGAGATCATCCTGCCGACTCAGACGAAGCCTGTCGTCCTTACTAGGAACTAGAAGCATTAACATGCAACCAACAAGCAAGAAAGCAAGCCAAGCAATGCAACCCTCCCTCGACAAGGACACACACCTGTTGGCCAAGATACTCCATGTTCCACGATGTTCCAAGCCTGGTGACCTCAGGGCCACATCCGGACACGATGCCGCAGCGTGCTTTGACTGTCAGGCGAACACAGCACGATTCCTTTCAGGTTACTGGTGAAAGGGGGCAGTCCTCCGCTTTTTGAAGAGCTGGGCCCTGGGCCGCTGGTTTTTCTTAGGACAGTGACTAGGTGAAGGATGGAATCCGCATGCATCCGCAATGGGGTTCTTTCTAAGACCATACATTGGATTGGAACTCTGGCACCAAAACTTCCAGACCCATTGGAGCACCATTTGAGCACCGCGTTCAGCTGCTGGGAACAAAGTTTGTGCCATGGCCCTGTTTCACCCGTTGGCCCCGCGACTCGTAGGGTCTGCAGACGTGGAAAAAAGGCCTTTCCCTCGAGCGCAGCGGAGCGAGGGAAAGCGCTTCCCGCATCGAGCTGCATGTCGAGCGCTTTCCAACAGACCCCGAGCTGCTTTTTTGGCAACCCTGGTAGCACGCTTCCAGGAGTTCGGCCGTTCACATCCCAAGGTCAGCATGATCACGTTTCTGACTGAATGGCACATCCAGAATATCGCCCCATCACATTCGCAACTCGCTTATTGAGTCAACCTCTCAGAAGTCCTCTCAGATATTTTTCCATGTGCGTGTCGTAAAGCCAGAATCAATCCCCCACCATTCTTGGCTAGGAAAGGCGTTGATATATATATATATATATACATACTACAGTACATACTACATTATTCATAAACCAGTTGACGCCATGCAAACCTGGCATATTGATAGATGTTGAATCTCCAGTCTCCAATTAATTTATCCACCTCAATTCCGTGTTGCCTTGCAGGTTGTTCTTTGGCCCAAATCATGCACATTCAATGCACGAATGTATTACTGTAGATCGATTAGAAAGCCTTGGGTCTTGGTTCAGGCATGCCATATTGGTTCTAGGAACCACATCAGGGAAACCCAAAGGACCGTTCCTGGTGTTCAGATTCCATTGAATCTGCTTGGGATGGGCGGTAAGCAGACCTCTGTGGGTGTTGAGGTGGAGATCCGCCGCGTTTCTGGTGACCTGCGCTTGTTCACTTCCGACTCATGAACTACTCCAGGAAGTCACTGGCAAGAGGGGTATACAACAAAAGACCCCAAAGTAGAGAAGTCTTATAGAAAACGTCTTGGTCACCGTGGTTAGTCCGTCTTGGTCACCATGGTTCACTATAAAGCTGGGGGCACCAGGAGACCAAAAGGAACTTCCAATGTTCGGCCGATTTCGGCAGTGAGGCCCGGAGCGCCCCCACCACCGGCCTTCGTCCCGGCGGGGAAGGGAGGGATGAATGGGGTGGTTTGGGGTGAAATGCCTCTATATAGATGAAGCCTAAACATTATGGATGGGTTTTGCTCACTTTCCATATTATATGGCATTATATATGGCTATATATATATCGATATATCTATATATTACGTTCATGGATATAACTTACAACTATGCAAACTGTTCATCTATGAAGCCAGCCGAAAGGCAGACATTTGACGAACTTTGCATCTATAGTTGGAAGGTCTAGGTATTTGGTGATCATGGGAACCAAATCGGAGATCGACCTGATGGATGGAACATGGTGATTCCGGACTTCGGAGAGAACCGCCTTCCTTTTGAACATAGCTAACGACCAAATGATTGTCACCTCGCACGCCGCTGGCCGAATCCGTTCTTTCCGCGTGCCGAAAGAAGCCAGCCGTGCCACCCCAACTGCATGTACCTTGGTTTCAGAGCCTGAAACCACTGAGGGGGACATTCTCAAGCGAAAAAGCGAGGCTCTCAACTCATGGAGTCCGATCGAAAAAAAACCATGAAACACCCATCGCCAGGCCGATCGGAGATCCACCCCGTTCTCGGATTCGAAGAAAATCGTCCAGACCTGGGATCTTCCAACATCTTCCTGCATGTTCTTGACTCGTCATTCATCTTCAATCAAATCTTAGCTAAGAAATCGAACTCGTTGTCGAAGATGTTGGCCGATTGCAGCCCAGTGGTGTCTTCCTTCTTCCTCCTCCTTCTCGTTTTTTCGTTCCACCGAGCCGGAACTACGCGCCCTGTCGTTTCGCCGAACCCTCCGTTCCGCCGCTGGGATCCCCGCCCCGCTGGGTGCCTTCAGGGTGGTCCCCCACCGCCGGAGACGGACACCGACATGCCGGAGAAGGTGGCGGGGATCGAGGCCAGGCGTGGCGGTCGAAGGTGGCGGGCGTGGAGACCACTTATTCTTGGGCCGAACTCTCCCAACTCCACCACGGGCTCGCGTCCAAACTGCCTGACACCGACAGGTGTTGGGCGATGAGCTGTGGTTCTCACACGTGCCCACTCGCCGGTCCTTGCGGGAACGAGCGCCTTGGCACCGGAGGGACGGACGAGCGAGGAGCGAAGCATGGAAGGGACGTACCTCACGGCAGCGCCTGACATGAGTGCATGAATCAAGTTGCTTTACATGAGGGGTGACTAGAGTCAACTTGTTGGGGGACACCTCCACTGCGATACCATGCCTTGTAGCGTTTCACACGCAACCGACTGGCTGGTCAAAACCCGGCATATGAGAGAGAGAGAGAGGGAGGGTCATTGAAAATGGACAGGTGCCCACGACGTTTTTTCACCAAAAATCCCGATTCTTCCAGCACCCAGCGCCCATTTCTGGCGGTGATTCGGAAGGAACATGATGGAACATGCATCATGAGAGGGGCCCTATCTTCACTGTGCTACTAGAGTAGCTGAGTAGCTCTTTCTCAGACCTGGGCGGCGGCATCGTCATGTCGAGCCTGGCGGCGGCCGAGGTCATCGCGGCGCACGCGGCGCAGAAGATCTTGGTGGCGAGCCCCGCCACCGAGATCAAGCGCCTCGGAACAAGAGGACGCTACAGTAACAAATGGAGCAAGGACGCTACTAGTAGCTCCTGGCCTCACTACTAGGAACAAGAAACTACTAGGGGCTCCGGGCCTTACTACTAGGAACAAGAAACTACTAGGGGCTCCTGGCCTCACCACTAGGAACAAGAAACTACTAGGGGCTCCTGGCCTTACTACTAGGAACAAGAAACTACTAGGGGCTCCTTGCCTTACTACTAGGAACAAGAAACTACTAGGGGCTCCTGGCCTTACTACTAGGAACAAGAAACTACTATCAAACACAATGTGTTTTTTTGGTCGATGCTTCTCCCGATGGTTCCACCGGTGGGATGCCGCGCAAGGGGTGGTGACTTGGGGAGGCGAAACGGGGCTCAAGAGACACGACCTGTTTGGGACTGCAATAGGACTGCCGATCAGTTGGGGTGGTTTGGGGGGTCAATGGGGCGGCATATATGGTATACATGGAGTGTCTGGGCACGTAATATCAATGTAATGATGAACCGTTATGGAGTTGTACTGTAGATATGTGTAAAGGATAGATATGAAAGAACGTGACTGGGAATTTTTTGCCCCATTGTTGAGGCATCCTGGGGCTGGGGAGTAAGAATGTGCTGGGTCGTTCTGGTACATGACATATCGCTGAGTATTCCAGTGTGTTTGGTCCTCCAAACGCAGAACATTCAAGCCAAGGTGTTGCCCTAGAGGTCCAAAGCTGCAGCTATATATATATATATATTTGCACCACTGAAGTCAAGCGGTTCCACATATCTATATAACTTGCGTTATGGTGTTTGCTGAAGCTCACGGCTGGCCATGTTTGGCAACCAGCCATTTAACAGCTTGAATGTGCATTGTGTGGATGCCAGTTGAAGTATGACGCTGAGCTTGATAAGCTGCAAGTCTCCATGGCTCTCCCTTTGGAGGGGAAAGAGTTGCCGTTGATTGGTTGTGTTTTGCGCCCCAATATGCCGCCATTGCACTCACTGTTTTGTTTTCTCCTCTAACAATCGGTAGGCAATGATCAATAATTGTCACGATTTTAGAGAAAGGCCTCTATTAATTAACCACATCTAACTACCATCATCCACTGTTACAGGGAATGGGATATATACCCAATGTTCAGACTGGCCGTCTATATCGTTGCCAGATCTGCCGAGGGCAGTACACCTCAGGGGGAGGCAGTTGAGCGCCTCAAGTTACTTTTCGGGTCTCCTAGAGACAATTTTTCAAATTAGTCTTGGACTTCTGGGGGGGTGGTTCATCATATATAGAAGGAAGCCACCTATATAAGATCCAGCTGGGAGGGGAATAAGGATGGAACAAGGTTGGGCGCCGCTCCTGAGGCGAATTTGTCCGGGTCCGGGGCGAATTCTGGGCGTCCGGACGCCCGGAATCATGCGCTGACTCTGCGTCGCAGGGGTGGAGCGTTGGGACGTCGGGGCTTCTGGGGTGTTAAATGACCGGTGCACCGTACCACACACGTGACCTCGTGAACTCCAGGTGAGCCTCGGTACGATGGTGCGTCCGCAAGAATGAGACCGGAGCCTCCGTTCCACCCGGTGTGTTTTTTGGTTTCTCTCAGGGTCACACGCAACCCTCAACACCCAAAATCATCCAAAGCCTCTGACCAGTTCCTCCTCCATGGGCTCTCTCTTTTTGGGACGTCACTCGTTAAACCTGTTTGCGCCAACCTTAGCCCCAAACAGCTGGAGGCTGGAGCCGTTCTACGGCTTGGGGGCTCGCTGTTAGGCGGCTACGGGGAGGCGAGCAGTTAGACGCCACGACCACGTGGACCGGGCCATGGCATCGCGTAGCGTTCCTTTTTTCGGCAGTAGCGTACCGGGCGTAGCGTACCGGGCGTATGTATATGTGGCATGAAGTGGGAGAATTCGCACCTTTTTAGGGATTGAATCATTGTGTTTTTGGTTTGTTGTTGGTGTTTTCTGTTGCAACAATTTAATTGGAGTTTACTTTTGGTCCAGCTAAGGCTGCCGCAGTTGCCACACTGAGGATTCGTGCCCCACAACGGTTCATCCGGGTTTGGGCTGAACTTGAACATGGCGAGTGACCTCACTCTATCGACAGGTCCTGTCAAGATTCCCGAGTTTCCCAGCTCTTTTGAACATATCCGCCAGTTCACACCTGATGCCAAAAGCCAATGGTGTGGTGGAGTATTGCTGCATATTGCACTACAAGAGGTAGAAGTCTCCACTGTCGCTGCCGTTTTCTGCAGGACTGTAGCATGTGGCATGAAGATGGCTGTGGAAGCTGTTTCAACGTCTCAAACATGACAAAGACATACAAAGACATTTTCTCAGAAGATGAAACTGAGACATGCCCCGCTGGAGATGCCCCGAAGATGGCTACCCAAGAATCACAGGCTTCCCTGACCTCAGGCAAAAGATTGGTAAAAGACCAGCCGCGCATATGAAGGTGCAACTTGAGCCCTTCCCGCAGCCGCAAAATTAACTGCAAATGAATGAGCAATAAGCAGAATCATACACCATCATAGACCTAAACCATCCTAATACTATATTAAGGGGGCACTTAAATACCTTGGATGTAGCATGCACACGTGGTTCTGGAATGATGAATTCACATAAAATCCTTACTGGACCAGACCATGTCTTTGAAAAAGTAAATACCAAGAACTTCTAAAACTTGGACCTAATCAAACACCATCCCTCCTCCAGTTCGCAGGCCCTTTTTTTCTGTCAATCACGCCCCTCTGACCTTTCATTGACCACACAGTCGCAATGTCAACGCGACAGTCCACTCGCAGCGTGCTGCGGGGGATTTGCTGCCTGGGCCTTTGGTCCCTGAGTGGTCTGACTCACCCGGCCGCAGTGCCGAGGCGGCTCGCGGTTTGGATCGGACCCGGATGGCACTCTGGATATGTGTTTGGTCGATGACAGAAAGACCCTTTCTGAATGTGTGAAAAGGATCCGCCTGATTTGGAATGGGATGGCAAATGGAGTCTCGCTCAGTTGCATCGGCCGCATTTAAGACTTCCTTACAAAAGGCGTTGGAGGCATTCATGTGTTGGGTGAGGCTGTATCTTCTTCTTGCCAAGGGGACTATGTTTGTACGGATCATCCATGAGCCCACCATCCAGATAGAGGTCATGCATGTGGCATGCCACAGCCCCCTCAACTTTCACATAGACTCAAGTTGCAGGCTCATAGGATTGTTTCACGGCCATGTTTCAAGGAGGAATTGATGGAACCCAAGGCTCCAAGTTAGGATTGATTCATGTGCAAGGCGGGCTTTTTTAAAGGGTGTTTCCTGGATATCATTGGATGGTTTACTCGCCAAACTACCCCCACCTTGACAATCTTGGAGGAGTTTGAGACTCGTCATAAGCTGAGGGTTATAACCCCAAATCTTGGTATGATCTCTTGGTGCTCTTGGATCATAAGCTGGTTCACACCTTCTGCTCCACACGACCCGCGCGATCCAGGCGTTGGACCGTCCTCACCGCTCCCGCCGTCTTGACGCAGACGAGCGCCCGTGCCGCGCGAGCAGAGCCGCGCGAGCCGCGGAGCTATGAGGAAGTCATCGCGGAGTCCGGTTTGGAAGACTGGTCGGCACCTGGGAGAAGGGGAGGAGGTTGTTGTGTTTTTGTTTTTCCGTTGAGCTGAGGTGCCCAAGTGCAATCCACAAAGGTTTTTGGTGTGTGTTTCTTGTGATTCCTTCCAGCAAGAAAACCTAAAGCCTCAAGCGACTGGCCGAACAATTTAGAAGAGCTCACTCATATGCATGATAGCAGAATAGCAGAAGGGAACGTTTAAAAATTGCTAGCTAGCGTAATGAGAATGGGAAGAGATGAGATTGATTGATGATTCCAAAAAGGACCCCAGAATCAAAACGACAGTTTGGACGTGTCCTTGGCTATATGACTCTAGTGGTTTAGCAGGCAGCAGCTGCAACACAACTAGATGAAATCAACCCCCGGCCCTGATTAGATGCACTCGGGGGCAGTTACAGATAAGGACAGCGCGGGAAAGCAACAAACCAGGACATGGTGGAAAGGCTCGGTTTAGTTCGAAACGAACGAACAGAGGTCTGAAGGGAAGCAAAGGAAATGGAACACAAGATGCACAAGCAACGGACAGGGGAGAAAGGTCAAACAGCAACAAGCCAAAGGATGGAAGGAAACCTGATTTAGCTATATTGACTACACAGGATTTCAAGAGCGAACATTGTTTCTTCAGGAGGAAATGCTGGTTGGAGATACTTCCGCTGTTGCCTACCAACTCTTGTAAGAAATGGCTCGGCTTGATGAGGATGCTGTATCAATTTCCTCATCGATCCTTTTTTGAAGACCGCCAAGTAGTTTAATTACATGACAGAATGCAACAAGTGTTGTGTGCTGTGTGTCTATAGTACATTTGTGCAAATTTATGATTTCAAAAGCAAAAGATCCATGGCCTTTATATAATCACACACATTGCAACTGGGCTCTTCCCACCCAACAAAAAAACAGAAGAGCTAGATTCCCCCTTTCAACAGGTGACTCTGACACCCAGAGCTGCCCGCGACATGGAGCCCTTCACGGAACGCTGGCATTGCCCGCTCCGCCCGCAGACCGGTGAGACCGAGGTGAAAGACTATGAGGCGATGCGCGACGATGTGCCACGCACCTCCAAGTTCGAAAAGGCCATTCAGCGACGCCTCCAGAAGCAGCCGCAGGCGCCGGTTCCCCGCAGACGCCGACGCCGAACCGTTCGGGTGCCCGGGAGACGGGACCGGGAGACGGGACGGTTCGTCAACCTGCAAGAACCGAGCGCCTTCCGCGCACAGGATGCGCCTTACCTGTGGAGCATGTTTGTATTACTTATATTTTTTGAGCACTTGGACTGCCGATCACTAAAACCATTCGCAGATGTCAAAGCCCGTTTGGGGACGTCTGACCCGCATTACATAGGCCATCCACGTCCATGTGAGTTCCAAGGGGAGTACCATCCATGTTTAAGGGTCTCGGACAGCGCAGCACCAGTGACAGTTGGATCACGAGGACTGACTCATGCACCTCCGCTGGTAACTCATCCCCCACCGTCAAACTGCGGGGGCTGAAGAACCGCCATGAACTGGCGGCCAGCATGGGTGGGATGAAGCACATGGACGGACCATGTGGTTTTTTGAAAAAGTTGAAAGGGGTATCCAGCCAGGAGATCCCTAGGTAGGCTAAGTCCAAGGCTGGACACCCAGACAGGGGTGCTGGAGGCCGTGGAAGGACCTGCCTTTTTCTTTTCAACAAGACCGCCTGGGTAGGCCACAGTCTTGGACATCGGCACTGGGCCTTTTGCCCTGCTGGCGGTTCTGGCCGCCAAGGCAGGGGCCAAGAAGGTCTATGCTATCGAAAAGACGCCTGGGCGGGTTGGGTGGGATCGGGTTTTATGCGGGATGGAGATCGCACCTGGGAAAGAATATAGCTTCCTTCAGACACAAGTGGTTTTCAGGTTCCATGATTCCATGTGGGGTCTTTCTTTCCGAGGCGCGTGCAATGTTTATTCAATCCCTTCTCGGGATCTCTTGATATGGAAGCCTTCCTATAGGTTCATGATTGCCATCCCGGATGTTAGCTGGCGATGCTTAAGAAGCTTTCGCCCTTTTTCCAGGGATGTTGGCAGCAGGGCTATCACCGAATGAATGACAACGTGGTGATATGTTAGTTGGCAGAAGAATGTGCCCTCAAGGGGCCACCAACATTCTAGCATAGATGTCAAGAACATTCCACTATTTTGGTACAAAGTTGCCACAGAGGAAGAACATTCCAATGCCCTCCACTTCCAAAACGATCTTGAAAATGCCAGATAGAATACCGTGCTCCATCTCGAAGAATCGATACGGTTGGACGATTTGCTCGACAGTGATCTTGGAAAATAAATATGATCTAATGTGCATGTAGCATGGCCTGGGTCAACCCAAGTGGAATCCACTAGATTGATTCAACAAAAACCTGTGAATTTGTAAATCTTTGCAAGTTTCAGAACCTTTGAATCCAAAGCAAGCTCAAGATCTAACGATAGGTTGGACAGATTTGTGGTTGGAATTGCAGAAGTGTGTGATGCCTTGTGTTGCGGCCGCCCGTCATAAATCATGCATAGAATTTTATCGTGCTTGCTTGATCTTGCTTGTAGTGTAGGGGGTCAGACCAACCGAATTCGCCACGGTTAGTAACTATATATATATATACACAGACCGTTAACTACGCCAAACATAGAGGGTGGGGGTTTTGCTTTGGTTGGTCGTTATGATTTCTTTGGTGAGACCCAGTCGCACCGTTCCTGTTTCCTTTTCTTTTTCAGGCCGTGAGGCCGTTTCAGTGGATTCAATGCTGACTGCCTCACGTGGAGTGCTAACAGCTCAGGTGCAAAACACGAAGAGTTCCCTTGCCCCATGTGCATCTCAAGTCCTTCACTTCACTTCAATCAGCCCTGCGACCATGGAGGGATCGACGGTCAGATCCGAGGAATCCGGAAGCCGCTGCTTTGGCCAAAGAGACGGTGGAACGTGATGGTTGGAAGGACTCGGCAGACGGTGGGAAGGTGACCTCCTGCACCCTGCTGACCCTGCTGCTTTGCAGCAACTACCCTCCAAAAGCTATGTGATCTATGTGTCCGGACATGGCGTTGGAAGAGCTCTCCAAGACTTCAAGAGCAGGTTCCTTTTGAAAGAGGTGATTTTTCGGGGAGTTGCTGGTTTGTGGCGTATGGAATGTAGGCGTGCCTTACATTGACTCCTGAAACCACCCCAATGC